GAAAAACAAAAAACAAAAAAAAAAAAAAAAAAAAAAAAAAAAGGAAAGCTTACTGATTCCCAAGTTTTTCTTTCCTATTAGTTGAGGACTCAATCCTTGTATCCTCCCTAAACCCTTATGCTGAAGATGGCCTTTGGAGGGGGAGGAGGGGTATGCACACACATAAAGCCCTTGTGCCTCCACATTCCCACTTTATTTCTGTTTCAGTCTTGTGGATGAATTATATTTGGTTTGGTTTTGCTTGAAGCCTGAATAGAGCTTTATGTTAATGCATGTTTCTCTGTCCTTTGAAGCTAGGTATTAAATAAGGTTTTTCTGATACTAAAATATCAAAACACTAAATGCTTTGTAAGGAAAAAAGGAAAAAAAAAAACAACGAATTTTCTGACATTTAAATAATAAGTGTTATCCATCCAGTTTATAACCAAGCAAAGTTTCTTTTGAAGACAAGACTATAGGCATTTAAAACATACTGAATACTGAAACAAGTAACTTTATTAAAGCTCATCAAATATTCAGACTTTTTAAAAAACACTTTTGTTTTAGAATTCCAACATTCATTACATTTTCCTTGAGGAACAAGCTTATTGTTGGTGAGGGGAGTAGATGAGAACAAAGTATAACAACACATGAATGACAATGGCATTGTGTGAAGCCCATTGCTGTGTATGCTAATCTGATTTATTAATAAACCCTTTAAGAGATAAAGCTTATTAATTCCCAAGCTACTCTTTCCTGCCTGTTACAGACTCAGTATTTTTATCCTTCCCATATTCCTACACTGAAGTCCTAACATGCAGTAGTGTGAGACTTGAAGATGAGCCTTTGGAAGACAATTAGGGGTGTATAAGGTACCCAAAGTGGGACTCTCATCCTGACCTAGTGTCTAAGAAGAGACAGAAGTCTCACCACCATGTGAGGACCAGCAAGAAGGAGCTAGGTCTTTCCAAGCCCTCACTAGGACTGAACCTTGATGCTGGGAATATGAGAATTAAGTCTGCTGGAGCCACTCAGTCTGTAGCCTGCACTACCATGCATTTCCCTCTTGAACCATACAAAATGGTCACTAGTTGGCCATCTTTTCATCAGTGCTCAGTTGTGTCTGTCCATAACATGTCTGTGGGGATGGGTGGGGGAATGGATGACTGATACCCAATGTCCTTTGCCTTACTATAAAATCTGTCTTTTGTATATGTTAGCTTAGTTTTATGGACAGACAAGAATGAGTATTGATATTCAACTGAACCATATGAAATTATGTTTTTGTTTGTTGGAGACAAGGTCCCACTACACCTCAGGCTGGCCTCAGACTCACAGCAGTCCTCCTGCCTCTGTCTTTCAAGCGCTATAGTTAGGCATGAGCTGTAATTCAGCCATACCTGGCCAAAATCACTGTTTTATGAGTAAAAGTGGCCATGTTCTTTGGCCTTCTGGGGATGGTGAGTCAGATGATGTCCAAGCTGCAGCTATCCTAAGTATGAGAGGAGGAGCCAGCTACAGGCTGTGCCTGATCAGTGCTTCCATGTGTTCTCTGAAACATCCCAGGTAAAAGTGCTGAGTCCAGGGACCAACAGTTTGTATGGCTAACCACATGTAATACAAAAGTGCCAAATAGTTTTGCCCTTCAAACGTTAAGCTTTTTTTGCATGGTTTGTAGAGTTGGCCTGGAGGTTCATGGGTACATCAGAGTCAGCACCTTCCTAATGCTTTGATCCTTTAACACAGTTCCTCAGGTTGTAAACCCCCCAACCATAAAATTATTTTGTCTACTTCATCACTGTAATTTTGCTGTTATGAATCATTATGCAAATTATCTGTTAAGCAGGATACCTGATATGTGACCCCTGAATTCTAAATGGGTCTAAATGCTTTTTCTGGAGCTAATACTAAGCAAAAAAAAATTTTTTTTTACTATACAGCCATGAATAGTGCTATAAAAGTTTAAAGGAGGTCAGGTGTAGTGGCACACACATTTAATCTCAGCCCTCAGAAGGCAGAAACAGGAAGATCTTTGTGTGTTCCAGATTCCAGGCCAGCCTAGTCTATCTAGCAAGTCCCAGGCCAGTCAGGGCTACATGGTAAGATCTCATCTCAAAAACAAACAAACAGAAAAACCCAATGGTTTCTGCATGGCCCATCTCTTTGGCTCATGTGGGTCAAAACAATCATTCTTGCTTTACATTTGAGCAGTTGGAGTGTCCCTAAGCAGTCTAATGCATGCCCTGCAGATGGGCGCCCTCGGTTCAGTCCCAACACAAACAGAAAACTAAGGACTTGGATTTGATAGACACCAGTGGACATTTCTTTTTACATTTCACTCTTCCTCTTCATCCCTTGGCCTCTTTCTGGAGGGCTCATCTCCTGAAGAAATATGAAAGGTGGGTTATAAAATTCATATAAGGTGTTTCTGGCAGCCTTGTCCAAAGTAGTTCTGAACTGACAGGAGACATGTGCCCTAGAGACCTGTGTTCACACACAGCATCATCTCTGGGTGGGCAGCTAGGCTCCTGGGACTTGGGTTTCCCTGGGTGGCTGTCCTGATGGGAGGGACACTTTCCATTCAGTATCGTATTTCTATCACATGACTTGAAGTACATAATTTTTGTCTCAGTACTTCTATAAAATTACTTATGTTAAAGTCTGGTTTTAGAGGCTGGAGAGATGACTCTTGCAGAGAACTCAGGTTCAGTTCCCAGCACCCACGTGGCAGCTCATGCCCTCTGTAACTCTAGATGAGTGCTGCATGCATGTGGTGTACACGGAAGGAAGACACTCATAAATAAAAAAATATATATATAAAGACTGAGTCTTAAGAATGCTTAGGTATGTTTGTGGTTTTGTTTAGAAAGGTTTACATATGTATACACACATATAAATAAATTAGCAAGTAGCCACTATTTCAACATTAATGCAACTGTGGAACCTGGAGCAAGTTACGTGCTCGGAGGCACTGAATGTCCCAGGAGCAGCAGCATGGGGCCCCTCACGTAATTTAAGACTTGCAATGTCTTCCCGATCTTATGGGGGAAAAAAAGACTCAGTAGCAGACTGAGTAGCTCTCCATTGCTGCTCTGTTCAAACAGCAGGCACCTGTTTCTCCACACTGAGCATTTGCCATTCTCTAAAGGAGCCTTGCTGTCTCAGGGCCCTGTGTCCTGCCTTGTACCTTCTCTGTGTAGCTGAAATGCCTCGCCCTTGCTTGTGATTTTGAAAATTTCTCTTAATTTTTCAAGAGTCTGTGTGGCCTCCCGAGACCCAACCCTGCCAGACAGCAGAGTCTCTGACTCTTCTTACTGCACTTGAGTCACCGAGTGTCAGTGAACTATATGCTGTGCTCCTGCTCTCTGAGCTGGCTCTGGATACAGGGTCACCCCAGAACTGAATAAATGTAACTTACCCATGTCACTCACAAGTTTCTTGGCTTTAAGTAGTCTTCTGGCCTTATCTTCTTCAGATCCTTCATCATCACTGGCCGAGGAAGGCTGGGCTTGTTTCTCTGAAAGCAAAGGGGTTCTTAGGAATGGGGTTGACCTTGAGAGGGACCCACCCTTACCTGGCTGTAGCCATCTTAAGTTGTAACTACCATGATTTCTCCTGCTTAAGTAAAACTCGCCTGCCCTCCCTGCCACTTTCCAGCGCACTGTAGATGACACAACCATTAAAATGGCTATGGAGCTTTTTGTTCAGACCCAGTACTGTGAGTACGAGGAATGTGGTGACACCTTTGATATATGTCCCCTGCTGTCCTAACTGCTACATAAGCTCCTGCCCTCTCACCCAGGCTGCAAGGATCCAACACTCTTGCTGCCATCCTTGCCCATAACTCCTACAAAGTCCTCATTGACCACCTGCCCCATTACTCCCAGCATGATCTGCCAGGCTCTTCAAGCTGGATTTTCCCAGAACAGCCTTCAAAGAGGAAGACTTATTCCTGACTTTTACTTTTGCTGAAAATTGTCACTCGAACTATACTTTTTGAGAAATAAACAAGAAATTGGCTTTTGTTTGGTTGTTTTTGCTGTTTTTGTTTTCTTTGCTTGTTTGCCTTTTTTTAAGTTTCAGTAGAAAGGCAAATAGAACTTTCACATGAGCTGAATGACAGCTTGAGACGTTCTCAGATTGAGCAGTCTCAGGTTGAGCACTATTTGGTACCCCGAAGCCTTATAAACATATTGTTGTGGGAGTTTTCATTTGTTTGTTTTTGAGATGGTCTCTATTGGCTCTCCTGGTACTTGTTAAGTAGCAGCCTAGGCTGGCCTCCAACTCAAATTCTCTTGCCTCAGCCTGCACAGTACTGACTGGAAGCTTCTGCCACCTTGTCCAATTGTTCATAATATCTTTTTTGTTTTGTTTTTTAATAATTTATTTTATTCCAAATACATTGGTGTTTTGCCTGCATGTCTGTGTGAGGGTGTCAGGTCCCCTGGAACTGGAGTTACAGACAGCTGTGAGCCACCATGTGGGTGCTGGGAATTGAACCCAGGTCCTTTGGAAGAGCGGTCAGTGCTCTTAACCACTGAGCCATCTCTTCTGTTCATAATATCTTTAGAGATAATGAGGTTTTAATACTGAGTTGTTGGAATACATTGCTGGGCGGTTACAGGTCACAGTCTACCACAGCCTGGCAGCTTTCTCTGAGCTTGACAAAATTGAAGCTCCCTCCCTCTCCCAAAAGGCTTCCTGCTCTCTACCTGCCCTTATCTGGACAATGCCCCTGGGCCTGCAGGACTGACCTTATCTACAAGCTGTCCCTAAACCAGATGCCTGGATTTATCTTTAGCTTGATCCTTGGCACAGATCCCTGCTGAGAAGACTTGTTCTAGGGGCTCTGCTGTGGGACCCTACTGCCACATACTAAGCCTTGTGAAAGGAGAGTGCCACTTAATGCAAATTAGGGCTTGTCCCAGGTTTCCCAATCTTATGTATTCCTTAGACTCTGGAATAAAATTGAGCTGATTCACCTCCTTGAGGGCCATCTCTGTTCATGCTCAGGGGCCACA